CCCCACCCCCACCCCCTGCTTGAGCCGTCAGCATTGACTGGGAGCTGAGAGGAGTTGCTGCTGTTGGCATGAGACCTCCTTCTCCCCGACCTGCGGAGGTGGGGACCAGCAGATAATCCCACCCTTCCTTGAGCTGTTGCTGTACCATGAAGCTCAGCCAGGTCAGATTTTGTAAAAATGAATTAAAATCTCCAAACGTGTGATGTGTTTCTGTGGAATCGGTGGAGTTGGCAGGAGCCTGCTGTGGGGGCTGGGTACTGAAGACGGGCACTCCTGAGGTTCTGGCTTCTCAGTCAACAGTGTTAGGAAACCAAATGCCACCAAGGCCTGGCTCCAGTTTCTGGGGCGCGGAACTCAGCGCCGTGTGACTCGAGCAGAAGGTTACGACGTTCTCTCCGGGGCGGGCTCTCCTTTGGGCCGGGCTCCCTGGTGGCCGCCCGAGCGCGCAGCCTGTATTTTCTGTCCGTTCATCATCACGTCGAAACCCGGCCTCCGGGGAACGCCGGAAGAGGCGGGGCAGGAGCTGCCGTGAGCGGAAGTAGCGCCATTCGTCCTGCTAACGCTGCGTGAGCGATGCGGGGAACACGTCCCTCAGCCGGGGCGGCGGCCCGACGTCCCCGCGGGGCTCAGGACGCCGGGGAGGAGCCCGGGGCCGCGGCCTGCGACCTGCAGAGGGGTGAGGGCACGGGGCCGGGGTGGGGAGGAGTGCTCTCAGGAGCCTGGATTCCCTGAAAGAGGCAAACACTGGGAGCTCCCCCAGCGCAGTGGGAAGTGGGAGTTGAGATGCTTCCGGGGTTAGGATTTCCTGAGCAGTTTCTTAAAGGTAGGATGAGGGTTTTCGGCAACGGGAAACGGCTTGTGCAGTAATAGCACGGAGGCGGAAAAGGGCTTGGGTGGCTGGTGAAGGCTTGGTAAGTCAGTGTTCAACAAATTCCGCAGACTTTTATTCAGGCACAATTCTAGCTGCTGGAGATACAGTAGTGAATAAAGTAGTCAAACATTCCTGTCTTCATGGAGCAGAAGGACGGTGGCTCGCACCTTGTAATCCTAGCACTCTGGGAGGCCAAGGAGGGAGGCTCGCTTGCGGTCAGGAGTTGAGACCAGCCTGAGCAAGAGCGAGACCCCCGCCTCCACTAAAAATACAAAAAATTTGCGGGGCTTGGTGGTGCACGCCTGTAGTCCCAGCCACTCCGGAGGCTGAGGCAGGAGGATCGCTTGAGCCCAGGAGTTTGAGGTTGCTATGAGCTAGGTTGACGCCACAGCACGCTAGCCCAGGCGGCAGCGCGAGACTCTCGCACAAAAAAAAAAAAAAGGCAGACAAGCAAATTAATTAAAAGGCAATAAAACACTAATTTGTATACTTGAAGGGGTGAGTTTCGTGGTATTTGAATTATATCTCAAATTTTTTTTAAAGTGACGGGGTGTGGAGAGAGAGAAAGCAGAGGAGGGGTAACAGTCTTAAGTAAGGTAAAGAAGGCCTCACTAGGAAGGTGACATTTGAACGAAGGCTTGAAGGAGGTGAGGCAGCAGGCAATACATACGTGTGGGGGAAGTGTACCAAGTGGAGGCAACATGTGCAAAGGAACCGAGGTGGGGACATACTGCTAGGAGGCCAGTTGACTGGAGAGGAGTGAAGAGATTGGTAGATGAGATTAGAGATGTTACACGGGGCCAGGTCACACAGGGGCTTAAGGCCACTGTAAGATATGGCTTTTACTCTGAGCAAGATGGAAATCTTTGGGGAGTTTTGAGTCCAGGGAGTAACATGATTTGAAGTGTATGTGTGGGAGTGATACGCTCTGATTTCATTTTCTGTCCTCTCTGAGGCTGAAGTGGGGAGCTCAGCTTTGAGAGGAGTGAGGCTGGAGGTTGGGAGACCAGTTAGGAGGCTAGAGCACTGACTGAGGTAAGAGATGCTGAGAGTATGAACCAGGACATTGGCAGTGTAGCTGAGCAAGGGAGATGGAGGCCCTTTTGGGGGAAACTTGTGAAGGAGTAATTTAAAAGAGAGGGTGAAAAAGAAGGGACTACAGTTTGGTCCACTTTTGACCTTACATATATACCTGCCTTGTCAAGATGAGCCACCAGGTAGCTGAAATAGTTTGGGAGTTAGGTGTCAGTGTAACAGCATTACAGCCTGTGCTTCTGGGACTTATAATAATGATTGATCTGAGAGGGATATTAGAAATCATTAGCGACCGAAGGAGTGAGGATGGGATGATGTCTTTTCTGCAGTGGGACATGCTGAACTGAGTTGTGTGTCCCTCCTTTCTGCAGGCACATCTAACATGTCATTTGAGGAGCTGTTGGAATTGGAGAGCCAAGTGGGCACTAAGACATATAAACGATTGGTGGTTGCAAACAGCACTAAGAAACAACGTTCTAGACCATCTGTCCAAAGTACATGTGTTGCAGATAAGCACAGGTGAGGAACAAGGCCTGCCTTAGAAGGTGGAACCTTGAGTAGATGGGACCTTGAGTGATGTTTGTTTTGTTGGGCTGCAGATGGGAAGCCATTGACCAAAACTGCAGTCCCCTTGACTTGTCCTTTTAATTTCTCCATAGGCCTCTGGAAATGTCAGCCAAGATCCAAGTACCATTTTTACGTCAGGTTGTTCCCATCTGTAAAAAGGTGAGGAAAAGGTAGGAAGCATTTTCTCGCTTTCACTTTCAGTAAAAGGCAACTGAACGGTTCTGTTTTGTATTCTCTTATTCTCTCCAAAGGTGGCCCGGGACCCCCGCTTTGACGATCTATCAGGAGAATATAATCCTGAGGTGTTTGACAAAACATACCAATTCTTGGATGACATCCGAGCCAAAGAGAAACAGGTATGCAGCATGAGACTGGTTTAAGGGGGTGGGAAACTAGGGCACAGGTTAGAGAGTTGGGCAGAGGGGAGCAGGAAGCATAGCAGTGAGCAGATTTGCAGGTTTTTTTTTTTTATGAGTAAGTCTCACTCATTCTGTTGCCTGGGCTAGAGTGCCAAGGCATCAGCCTAGCTCAGGCAACCTCAAACTCCTGGGCTTAAACGTTCCTCCTACCTCAGCCCCCTGAATAGCTGAGACTATAGACACACACCACCATGGCCAGCTAGTTTTTTCTATTTTTGGTAGAGACAGGATCTCGCTCTTGCTCAGGCTGGCCTTGAACTACTGAGCTCAAGCAATCCTCCCGCCTTGGCCTCCCAGAAAAAATGCTAGGATTACAGGTGTGAGCCACCCTGCTGGCCGGGGCAGATTTAATTCTCTCTAAATTGGTTCTTACATTCAAATCCTGGCTCGTCAATTTACTAGTGGCGTGAACATTGGTGAGTTACTTAATCTCTCAATGCTTCAGTTTTCTAATCATAAAAATGATAGTAATAATTACTGTCTCAGTGTTATTGAGCTAATATATGTGAACCTCTTAAAATAATGCTTGGCACAGAATTTCGGCTACCATTTACAGAAGGTTAACCATCATATTCATTTTCCAATGTGGAGCTTGTGAAAAAGCAGTTGAAGAAGCACCGTTCAGGGGAGGAGCATGAGAAACTGCAGCAGCTGCTTCAGCGAATGGTGAGTGGGTAATAATTGCAGGTGGGTAGTGAGAGCAGTTAAAGGTGGGAGGTGTTCACAGTCCCTCTTGTTCATCCATCTCATCTCATCTCATCTTTGCTCCTCAGGAACAGCAAGAAATGGCACAGCAGGAACGAAAGCGGCTGCAGGAGCTGCACCTGGTCCTGAAGCAGGAACGGCGGGCTCAGGCCCAGCACGGCCATCGGCCATACTTCCTGAAGAAATGTGAGTGGGACATAACTATTGCAGGTTACAGGGACACGGATGCGGAGGCTATAGTGGCAAGGCACTGTGTTGGAGGTCCCTGAGCTCCTTTAAGGAAGGCATGAAAGCTGGATCCCACAGTTACTTGAATAAAGGTAGAAATAGTAGAGAGGGGTTATTTGTAACCAGTTTTGTATCCCTAATTAGATTATGGCAGGGATTGTTGCTTTTATCTCCATCTACCCCTACCCTCCCACACATATGCTGGGTAGGCACATAGAAGGAGCTCATAGTTGGTTGAACTGAGTAAGATAGAGCATATGAAAAGTTGGCTTGCTCACACATTCCGGTGAGCTCTAAACAACCAACGTATCCCAGCATAATGGCTGGGAAAGGGAATAAGGGGGGGATTTCTGCTTTGCTCACCACCAGCTTTCATTCTCCCTGTTATTTAGCTGAGCAGCGCCAGCTGGCCCTAGCGGAGAAGTTCAAGGAGCTGAGACGCAGAAGGAAGCTGGAGAGCTTCTTGAATCGAAAGAGGCGCCGAAATGCAGGCAAGGATAAGAGACATCTCCCTTTGAGCAAAGAGTAATAAGGAACTGTCCTCTGCTCTGCCACTGCCTCAGGGAGACATGGATCTATGGGGACAGTCTTGGGCTTGGCCTGTTTTCCTGGTTCCTTCCTGTTCAAGGGCAAGGATCACAGCTGCCCTTGAACTAGGTTGGCTCAGAGGAGGCTGGAGGGCTCTTCAACTGCCCACGGGGCTTGACAAGAAGAGTAGCTCAGCCTTCTGCCCAGCCACACTGCTTCTGCTTGGATCTGGTTCATCATGTCCTCGTGACCTTCTCCCACCCTTGCCTTAAACCAGTGATTCTGGTACAGAAGAAGAGGGGCCAGTGAGTGACCTTGAGGCCACTGTAGGCTATGGAATCTGTTCGTGGCTCCCAGGGCTGGCACTTTATGTAGGAGCCACTTCATAAACATTCTTGTTACTCATCTTTTTATTATTCTGCTTTTTTATGGGATTTGTAGGTGGCCTAGAACTGTTGTTTTACTGGACTATGTATGGAGGATTAGGCAACAAAGCCAAAGCTTCTAGAAAGTGGAAAGTCAGATCAGAGACCCCTCCTACTTAAATCTTGGCCCTTCAAAGACACAGTCATTTCAATTATGAACCAATCCCACAACTCAGCCTACTTGGCTTTGGTTTGGGATGCAAGGGGGGGTAGAAGGTGGGAACATAAAACTCCCCTGATAATATGTAAGTACAGCTGGCCCTCAGTACTGTTTGGAACTGGAATTTATACTACCCATGTGGCCTGGAAAATCCTCAAGCTGATAAGTTAGTTTAAAGTGGTCTCAGATTGGTGGTGTCAACAGGCACCTGGCAAAAGCAAATGTAATCCTCTCTTGAGGATCGTTCTTCAAACCCAGGCCTCAAGGAATTCTTTGAGATAAAATTTCAAGGAATATGAGCTTACAACTAAAACACAAAAGCACACAAGGAAAGAAATCACCATGAGCAAGAGTCATTAGGAACAATGGGCAACAGAATCAGACTGGTAAAAACTGAGACATTAGAAATATATAAAATGTTTTGTTTAAAGAAAAAGTATGACTAATGAATAGAATATCAAAAGGGACCCAACTGGTGTGATTAAAAAGTAAAACTTCTCAAAAGAAAAATATAGCATTGGAAGTTAGAAACTTTATAGTGAAGTAGCAGATTAGAGTTCTCCCTAAAGGAGAATGAACTGGAAGTAGATCTGAAGAAGTTACACAGATGGAGCACAGAGATACAGAGAAATGGAAACTAAGGAAAGAGGTGAAAAAACATGGAAGATAAAACACATGAGAACATTTGACACATGTAATCCAAATTCTAGAAGGAGAGAATATTTCAGAGAGACCAAGAATTTTCTAAAATCGATGAAATATATAAACTCTTAAGAATCAGGAAACCCAGATAATCCCAAACAGGACTTTAAAAAAAAGGCTAGATAAATCATAATAAACTGTAGAACATTAGAAAGCTTATTATCGTAAAAGCAGCTCTAAAGAAAAAGAAGAGAGGTAGAATCAGAAGGTAGGACATCTATTGACGCCTCTGGGATGGGGGAAAAGATGTAGTTCTGATGATAGAAATGGAAGGAGATGAAGAATAAACTACTCTTCTCCTGAGTTTGCCTTGCCAGGAGAGAGTGAGGGATCCAGTGGTGGAGGGTCCCCAGTGTCACATGTGTCAATCCTACTTTAAAGTCAAAGAATGGATCTGGCAGATAAAAACAACAAAAAACTTCATCCAACTATTGGACTCAGAACTACTAAGAAGGTTGGAGAAAAGCTCTAAAAAAGTGGGGTGGGAGGAATAATGTTTAAGCAATTACAGGCACTCTTAATTCTACCTCAGAATCAGAATGTTGATGTGAAGGTGTCACATTGCCACCAAAATGTACTCTGCCTTCTCTCCTGCTTTGTTCTGATTAACCAAGCCTTGGTCACATGGCTGCAAGAGGGGGCAGGGAGGGTGAGGGACAGGGAAAGCCAGCAGCTATTTCATATGGTGGGAGGTGGGCCCTGTGATCTATCTAGATTTGTGGTGGGGAGTTCCCAAGCATGGGAAGAGGAGGTTACAGGATTACAGGTGTGAGCCACCATGCCTGACCTGGTTTTTATTATTTATTTTTGGTAACATAACATTTTTATTGAGATATGATTCACATACTATACAGTTTACCCATTTAAGCATACGTTGTTTTGGTCGGGTGGGGGGCTCATGCCTGTAATTCCAAGCATTTTGGGAGGCTGAAGCAGGAGGATTGCTTGAGGCTAGGAGTTTGAGACCATCTGGGCAACATAGACCCCATCTCTACAAAAACTATAGCTGGGCATGGTGGCACATGCCTATAGTTAGAGCTACTAGGAAGACTTAGGTGGGAAGGTTGCTTGAGCCCAGGAGTTTGAGGTTGCATTGAGCTATGATGACACCACTGCATTCTATCCTGGGCAACAGAGCAAGAGCCTGCCTCAAAATAAATAAATAAATAAAGCATACAGTGTTTTTTAGTGTATTCGTGGAATTTGTGCAACTATTATCACAATTTTGGAACATTTTGACACTTGTCCTCCCAATCTCCCCATCTCCAGGCAACCACTAATCTTTCTGTATAGATTTTGCCTTTTCGTGACATTTCATGTAAATGGAATCCATATTTGGTCTTTTATGTGGTTTTTTGGGAGGTGGTGGTGGTTGACTACTTAGTCTTGACAAGACAAGGCCCCAAACCAGTTGTGGGGATGATAAGGAATTGCAACTGAGGATGGCCTCACAAGGGGTCAGGGTAGCAAACTCCTGTCCCCTGAGTTATCTTAGAAATAAAGCCAACTGTCTGCCTTCTAGCATGGATGGTCCTGAGGGCAGAGAAAGGCTCAGGTCCTTCCTGGTGTTGGTGACAGAGGGTGGGCTGTGCCTGAAGTCAGAGCTGCTCTCCTGAATTTGGGCAAATCAAGCAGGCCTGAGTCTGGGAGTGGGGTGATGTGTGCTGTGAAGGGTGGGCAACACAGGTGTGCAGACAGCAATAGGCAGGGTTTCCGGGCAAAGCTGGTGTGTTCATCTTTTAAGAATTGCTGGAGACTTCGTCCCTCGAAGATGAGCACTGCTTATGTGAGACTGAGGGCCTGGCGGCTTGAGTAGGATGCGTGAGGCATTGAGCAGCTGCAGTGAATTCAGGGTGTGGTCTATGGCTCGGCCTATGCAGGAGCCTGTGGGGGCAGTAGCAGCACTGGGGCACTGGGGCTTTCAGTGCAAGAAAGTCCCATCCTCTGCCCCTACCTGCAATGCATGCTGACCTGGTTACCAGAGCCCACAGCAGGGAGCTAGCTTATAAAGAGCATGAGAGCCCAGAGAAGGGCAAAAAACTCTGGCAACGGAGAGCCAGCTCAAGATTAAGCTGAGCCATAGGTAGGCCATGATATCTGGTACAAAGGTAGAGAGAGGCACCCAAGTGACAAACTGCAGCAGACCCAGTGTGCCCTGGTCCGCTGTGGCCCCAGTCAGCTGTTTGCTGCCTGGATTCTGTCCCATAGGGCCAACAGGCTGGCACCTGCTGTGACAGCCACCAACAGCACCATGGGACCAATACTGCAAAGCAAGCATGAGCCCTCTGTCCACTGGGGCCCCCTCTGCCCTCTGTTTTGTGGCCTTACCCTGAACAGCCTGACTCCCAGGCCCTGGCCCCTTTCCCCCCTATAGAGTCTATTCTAAATCTCAGCCCTAGATGGCACTCAGTTCCCTGTCTGGCCTCTGTGCCCTCCTCCCTTACCACCTGACTCTCCCCTCTCCTTTCTTCTATAGCTTTTTCCGTGTCACCTCGGGAATGCCTGGGTCATCCCTCCTTCCCTCCCACCAGAGGTCCCGCCAAGAGGCAGAGTTCCACCCCTGGCACAGAGTCCCCTGGCCTGACTTGCCCTGCCTCAGTGTGGGTGGGGCCAAGGGAGCCAATCGTAGCAGCATAAGCAAACCTCCCCCACAGCGGCAGGGGCTTGCCTATGGGGCTAGTTAGAGGTAGGAGTGTGAGGACAGTATGTACAGCTCTGCGGGGCCAGAGGAGGGGTGGAGGCATTGCAGTGGAAGAGGGGCAAAGTGGAGGAGCTTATGGGAGGAAGTAAGAACTGCACTGCAGTTCCTTCTAGCTCTGCTTCCAACCCAGATCCTAAACGATCAGATGGAATGCACAGTCAGGCTCCAGGGTGCTTGCTGTGGCCCAGGGGTCTTTTATCTCACCTTCACTATGTCAGCCTTACTTAGGGAAGGCGCCAGTGCATCGAAGTCACTGCTGGGAATGGTAGCCAAAATAGGGATTCATTGGTAAAGGCCTGACCGTGTCAAACACTTCCATACCTGTTACTCATCAGAGTCCTGGAGTGACGGGTCCAATTCCACAAACAATGGAAATGAAGCCCTGCTTGATCACTGCCCAAGTTATACATCATCTGGTGAGTGGCTGAAGTGGGCCTGGGTCTCCAGCCTGCCAGGTGAAAGAACTTCTGCCGGCACACCCTGAGAAGGGGCTGAAATCCTAGTCCAGTTAATCCTCTTGCCTAGGGGAGGATGCTAAGTCACACTTGACTCCCTCTACCTTTCTCCCAGTCTACAATCCTCACACTAACAAGACTCTTGGCATGTCATCAGACAACCTGAGTCCCAGGCGGTCCTTCCCCTTCCCTGTTCAGATCTCTAGCAGTCACCAAACACACACAGGTCATATAATCAAACTCCTGTATTTTATTTCTCCAGAAAGCCCCAGCCCTACCTACCCTGGACGCCATCTCCAGGGCTACTGGAAGGTAGAGAAGCTCTGGGTGCCAGTGCAGGAGGCATAGGGCACACCCCGAGAGCGAATCTGCAGGGTGTGGAAGGTGAGGGGTGGGTTGGGGCCCAAAGAGCCTGGGTTCAGGGACTCGGTGTGAGGCTCCATCACGGTCACAGGGACTGCATAGGACAGAATCTGGGGCCGGTCGTCATGGCGTCTCAGCGTGCCCTTGCCCAGGAGGTGTAGGATGCAGGAGAGGACATCGGTGCTGCTGCAGGCAGACCCCCTACCAAGGGTACTGACCAAACCCCTGGAAGGACATGGGCCCTTCTGCCAAGCCTCCAGCACCTGGTATGGGAGAGGAAAGGGGGAATAGCAGGTCAGAGGCACCCAGCTTACCCCACCTCTAGCTTCTTTTCCAACCAAAAGCTGCTAGAACACAAAGCATCAAGGACATTAAGCACCCTGACCTCACTCCTCACACACTTCCAGGCTGCATAGTGAACCAGTTGCTTCAAACGTGGACACACCTCCTCATGTGGCCTGCTCCTGCTGCCCCGGACTCCCTGCAAAGCCTCCTAACCTCCTGTGCCCACCCCCACCTACCAGACAGACAAGCTGGTCAATGTGCAGCCCCTCATCCCCGTGGGCCTTGAGGATTCGGACAATGAGGCAGTTCACAAGGTTCCGTCTCTTCTCCAAGTTCCGGCCCTCTTCATCCTCAGCTTTCAGGTACGTCTGAGGTGGGATGAGCCACACATTTCCCCTCCTTGGCCTGAGTTCCTCGCTGCCATCTCGAATCTTGAGGACCCCTGAAATAAACACTGATCGCTTAGTGGATGCCCACGGGGAGGCTGGCCCTGGCTCAGAGCAGAGGACCCTCTGGCCCTGAGTGCATACCTCCTGGTACATCCTTTGGCTCCTGAAGGTCCAGGGGGCCTCTTGAAGACGTGAGAGGCCCAATCGCCTGATTCAGCATGTCTGGAGAGAGCCCTGAGAGCTCCAGCAGGCTCTCCACAGAGACCACCTTAAGAGATGATGAACAACATTCAGGGCCCCCTAAGAAGTGTAGAGGAGAGGATGGAGGGGAGAAGGATAGGGAGGCAAGGATTAGGGAGGGAAGGTGAGGGACAAAGTGGGAGAGAGCACAGAGGCTGGGCCACCTTCAGATCATTGAGATACAGTAGCAGCCACATCTGCACAGTAGACACATGCAGGGTCTGGTCCCCAAACTGCAGCTCAGCCCGGCCCAGCCACGTCCACTGCAGTCGCCTCTGCGAGCCTTCCTCTAGGGCAGGGTGGCTCTGACCTGAAGAGGAACCAGGAAAAGGGAGAGATAGGCGGGGAAAGGAGGCAGTCAGGGCTTGGAATGAGGGTACACCACTGGCCAGCCTCGCCCCTGCTTATCTCTGCAGAGTGTGTGGCCCCACCATTTATGGACACTGTGGTTGCTGGTCTGAGCTTCCGGATCTCAGCTTACCCTGTGCATAGCTCCTTGGTGGGCCTCAAGTACCTGGGAACCACCCTGGGCCTAGCTTTTTGCCAGGAAGACTCTGATCAGTGCCCTCGAGGATTGCCTTGTTTCATTTTTTAGGGAGACAAAACCACGAAGTGAGGAAAGACTGGGGCTCTCATCCAACTGGAATATTGTGAGAGGAAACAGTCTGCCCCGTTAGTCTGAGAGCTCCCTGAGGGCAGGGCCTGAGTCTCTTCCCCCTCCTTTGTTGCTGCCCAGCCTAGGATCAGCCCCCAGTGGGGAGTTTAGGGTGACAGGTGACTGACCAGGAAGGAGCCAGACACCTACAGCCAAGGGAAAGCCCTTTCAGTTGGCCTCAGGTGCCTCCTGCCTCCATCCTCCCCACCACCCACAAAGAGATTCCGGGGTCTTATTTAAGGATAGGAAAGGCAACCACCCGGGCCTCTGGTGTCAGATAGCACCTGCCCCCCCCAGCTGAAACCTGAGCTCCTGCCCTTTCTTTTCAAAAATCCACTTCAGTTTTTCTCATTGCCCAGGGAATTCCTACTCCTAAAGACCATCCCTCTTCACATCAGGGCTCCCAACCTCAGGGTCTACCCCCAACCCCAGGTCCATTCCCAACAGCCCATCCTCTCCCCAGTCCCCTCTGCCTGGCTGCTCACTCTTATTGTAGAAGTTGGAGTATCGGTTCAAAGTGCCCCTCAGGTAGGAGGGCAGGCAGGTTCTTGGGTTCAGTGTGTGGCAGATTGAGGCGACAGGCCAGCAGCGTGGGGACAGGACGAGCACAGACACTTCTGGCATTGCCCCTTCATAGTAGAGGTCCTCGTTCTCTTCCTCCTCCTCCTCTCCCTCCACCACGTCCACCGCTGCTGCTGTCCCAGCCTCCTCATCGTCCTCACTCTCCTTGCCATTGGCCTCACAGCCCACCTGAAGGGGCACAGGGTTCCCAGGTGCCATGACCTCCTCCAGTCTGCTCTTCCTCTCTTCCTTCCTACCTGCCCACTTGCTCATCCCTTCCAAGGCACCCACTTGTATTTTCTTCTCTGTATCTTCCAGCTTTAGGAGTTCCTGATCAAGCCGCTGGAGCTGATAGACATGGAATTGGCGCTGCAGCTCCTCCGAGGTGCTCAGGCTCCGCAACATCTGCTGGGGCAGGCGGTTGGGGAAGCAGGGACCAATCTGCTCCAGCACAGCCCCCTCCAGCCAGCTTGAGCCCACGCCCAGGAGACGGTCTGCCATGTAGTGCCTGCAGCACACACAGCCCAGGCCAAAGCTTGGTGTGGGTGTCTGCGTGGCCCAGCCTCCTGCTCCAGGGCTCCAGCCTGTCCGCATCCCAGACTCCCAGGCCCCATGCTCTGGCCCTGCCCCTGCCATCCTGTCCCATCCCTAGCTCCCGTTACCCAGGTCCACACTCACTGGTAGTAATGCTCAAAGGTGGTGGCTATCTCCAGGCCAGAGAAAATGAGAACCGTTTCCAGGCATCGCTGCAGTTGCGCCAGCATCTCCATCCCCCGGGCTCCACCGATCCGGCTGCCCTGGATCCGCTGGTCAATGTGCCGGGCAAACTGCTCACTCACCTGGGCGTCAGCAGAGCATAGGAAAACCGTGAACAGGCAAGCGGAACAGGTGAGTGGGAGCAGTGAGGATGGCTGGAAAGTAGATGTGAATGGCTGGCAGCTTTCTAAGTTGGTCAATGCTTTTATTTTATTTTTTTCCATTTATTTTTTATCTGTAAATATTCATGGGATACAAGTGCAATTTTGCTACACTGATATATTGCATTGTGGTCAAGGCCTTCAGTGCACATATCACTAAAGCAACACGTTGTACCCACCTGGTACTACTTTATAAGATCATTAACAATTGTACACGTTAGCAATATTAATAACTATGGAAACCTTTTTTCACATTAACTGTGGCTAAAATTGCAACTATTACAATAACAATCGTTTAAAATGAGAAAATAAGTTCTGTGTATGAAGATGGTCATACCGTGGTGTTACTGATAAAATAGGACTGGAAGCAACTCAAGCAGCCAGGGCTTCACGCTCCTGCTACACGCCCTTGCTTACCACGGCGCTTATCACGTTTTATTTAACAGTTTATCATTCACTTACCTGCATCTTGCCCAGGAGACTGTAAACTTTAAGGGGCGGGTCTTCATCTATCTTGTTACCTATTCTGTCTTGAGCTCTAATCAGAGTGCCTGACACATTTCAAGTGCTCATTAAATATTCGTTGAAAAAAATGGGAATGGTGAAGTAAATCATAGTACGTCCCTGGATGGTATTTGTGCAAAAATAAAAAATGAGGACAAATAGCAACACTGAAAAAGGCTTCTAATGTAATAGTCAAAAGAAAACAGGACAGAGCATTGTAGCTACTCGTGAGTAAACTGTAAATCATGCCTACTGATAGGAGAAAGTATATCAAGATATATTAGGCTGGTAGGCTGCTGGCCAGTATTTTCTTCTTTTTTCTATTTTTTAAGTTTCTGATATCACGGCTATATACAAATACATGTTCATCAGAGAATGGGAAAGGAAGGGCGGGCCACTGTGAGATGAGGGAGAGTCTGTGGGGAGACCCAGAGGTGAGGCGAGGGTGGAGGCTTACGTGGGCAGCTCTGAGAAAAGGGAGCTTCAGCAAGGCCCCTGCACAGCCGTTCTGCAGCGCCAGCAAGAAGGCTGCCCGTGGCCCAAACAGCTCAGAGCTCGACTTCTGCAGATTATTAAAGTGCTCACAATAGCGTGGCACAAAGTCATCATCCCGCCAGGATGAGGTCAGAAAATTGTTCACCTGGAAGGAAGGGGCAGGAGCGTGAAGAGGCTGGCCACCCAACGTGCCACCCTTATAGTGGCCCCTCTCTCCCCACACCTGCTCCTGCCCACCTGCTCCTCCACCACGGCCCGCCAGCAGCGGGTCAGGTTTCTCATGATGCTGCTTGGAAGGCCCCGGGTAGCCAAGGAGCTCCAGTCATGGCTTCTGTTTCTGCCCTCTGTGGACACAGAGAAAGTAGCAGAGGCAAGGAGCAGCCCCTCAGCTCCCACCTTCCCATCCGATGGTGAGCCCTGAGGCCTTTCCTGACATGCTGCCACCCAAAATGATGTTCCCAGATAAGGCTGACACAAACCTAGAAGAAGAACAGGCTAAGCATGTAGGGAGGGGAAGGATGGACAGGAGCCCATGCGAGTGGGGGCCCAGGGGAAGTCTCTTGATGAGAGCTCCTGTGTGAATCCCCAGTACTCACTGGGCCGAGGAGTGGCCACCGCTGGCGGGGATGCCTCGCAGGGCTCGACATGCACCAATAGGTGTGTGAGGCGGCGCACCCGTGAGGAGAAGGCTGCTGCGCGGCTCTGGGGGTTGTGTGCAGCCTCGCGACACTCCAGGTATTGGTCCAACAGCCAGCCCAGGGGGCTGATGCCATCCTCATCTAGAGATTGAGACAAACGAACCAAGGCACAGCATGGGGGAGGCTGGGCTGGATGGGAGTGTAGAAAAAGAGCAGCTGGACAGAACGACACAGGGAAGGGGGTGTCAAGGCCCCTCCTGACCTTATTGTGTCAGCTGGCACTTGGGAGACGTGGGAAAGCGGGCAGCCCCTGGGCTGTGGGAAGAGGGCACTGGGGTGATGAACGCAGGCACCAGGGCCAAGAGCATAACCCAGGTGGTTCTAGGGTAGGGCAAGAAGTGGGCTACAGCAGCCAAGCAATGGGATGGTAAAGGGGCCAGGTGTTGGGATGGTTACCAGGTGAGGTGATGTTCTGGACCAGGGGGCTGACCAGGGCCTCCCAGCAGGTCTTGCCCAGAGCTCGGGCAGCCTCGTTGTCGGGAAGGAAGTGGTGAGCAAAAGTCTGCTCCTGGCGCAGAGCCCCATTGAGTCTGGGGATGAGGAAGGAGGAGGAAGCTGTCAGAGGCTTGAGGCGTAAGTTACCCCAGTGTCCACCCAGCCTAAGATAGCTGGCTGGCCCCCAGCACCCAGACCAGAGCCCTGCTCGGTTCTCCAGAACTGCCCTACGTTAACCGGTATATGTCATTCTCAGCCTGCCAGAGAAATCTCTTCATCCTTCTTTCCCCTCTCCCCACACCTCAGAACACTCCCCCTCACCAAGAGTATTAAACCTCCATCTTATAGCCCCCAGAGACCTGGGTCCGCCAGCCGTCTGCAATAGCCTTACCGTTCCCATAGACATGCTCTCACACACCTAGAACTCAGGTGCAGGAGGCTCATACGGTCCTCTGCCATGACCTGGCTCCAGGCCTGTGCCCGAACCATGTAGAAGAGGCGTGTGTGACGACACAACTGCTCCCGAAACACCGGCCAGAACGTGGGTTTGGGACCCAGGATCTCCAACCCCCGAATGCGCGTATCGGTGCCGCCCTGAAATACACAGAAGCCTGTTTTCACTTGCCACGCACCCTCCTCGTGATGGGTTGGGGCCAACTATGCCCTCAAGCCTCACCCCTGGAGCTGCCCAAGACCCAGGGCCACACCCCACAAGCCTGGGCCCACCTGCTGGCAGCGCTTTATGCGGATCTGGATGATGGGCCAGAAGCGGGTCAGGTTCTCCAGGAGGATCACCCGGCTGGCGGAGGGCATCACGTTCACCTGGCAGGGGGGAGAAGGCTGTCACCTCCACACACGTGGATGGGGGTGTTGAGAACACCCACATCCCCCTGCTGTATCCCTCCCTTCTCCAGCCCTGGGATACGTGGGGTCCTGATCAAGGGGTCCTAATGCCACCCCCGCTGCTCAGGGCCTGGTCACATGCACACAGGAATAAAGGACGCTACTTTCTGTAGGGGTCAAAACAGGGAGGTGTTTAGGAGTTCAGAGTCTGGGCAGGAGGGCAGATCCTGTGAGGAGTGGGCTAATGGCACAGGGCCCCCTACCGAGTTGAGTTCCGTGTTAAGAGAGCTGGTGTTGTCACCCCCATACACCACCACCCGGGCCGGCATGTAGCTCGAGTCCTCGCTGGCTACCAGCAGAGTCAGCTGCCTGGGAGTGGGGAGGAGGAACCAGTCGGAACTGGAACCTGTCATGTCCTTGCAGACAGAGCCCAGGGGACTCTTAGTTCAAGTTCAGGGGGGTGGTGCTTCCCCAAAGACAAATACAGGGAAGTCACGAGAAAGCCCAGGTGAGGGGCTAAGCATACATGTGGGAGCATGTTACCTGACGAGGACGCCCTGGTGCATGTGCAAGGTGATGTAGTGGGAGCCTGCACTGCCGTTGGACTCCCAGTAGGTCCTGGGGTTGCGGTCTGTCAGCTTGCTGGCCCGGTGCGGGTTGGAGGACACCTCCACCTTCTCCCAGCACTTGTCCTCCTTCACTTCCACACTGGAGCCTGGGGGCAAGTGGGAAGGGTAGAGGTCACAGCCTGATAGGGTATAGAGGGAAAACAGACATTGGTGTGGAAACACGGAGCAACGGGGAACAGGCACAAACCCTGGCACAGATATCTGAGGAACACATCAAAGAAAGGGATGTTGATGGGCCGGTGGGTTCGTCTGTGGTCTTCGATCTGGCCTAGCACCATCTGCAGCCGGAACATCAGAGAGAAGGTGTACAGGAAGGAGGGGAAGAACACGGAGAGACACAGGGAAACATATGGAAGGAAGACCAATCAGCAGTGGGACTTCCTCCATAACACCAGCAGAGCAGGCCCAGATAGGGAAGGGGGTGGGGAACGAATGCCCCAGGCTCACTGGCGCCACCTGCTATTTCCAGCTGCAGGAACACGGCCCCTTCCCCAACACTGCTTGGGTCGCAGATTCTGATGCAGCTTGGAGCCCACACGCTTCCCCTGCCCTTCCTCCTGACCTGGATGCAGCCTCCCAGGATGTTGGTGGTGAGTTTCCGGTAGAGGTGTGCATGCTTCTCACACTTGAACACCATGTCCCGCAGCTCCTGAGCCAGCTCCAGCTTTCCCAGGTGCTTTTCCAGGGCCTTGGAGATGGCATCTCGGGCTCCCAGCTGATTCAGCACCACAGCATAGTCCCTGCTTGCCGAGGTCAGGCGGTGCAGGAAAAAAATCAGTTCCTGGAGCACCTGGGGTGGGGACATCCAGGAGGAGGTGAATAAAGGGGACACGGTATAGGCCACAAGGGTATGTGTTGTAGAATATACCCAGGGTGTGCAGGGTGCTGGGGATGCTGCAGTGAACTAGGCAGAGTGAGGAAGTAAAAAGACAGGGATGGGGGAGACGCGAGAGCCAGGTGGAGTCAGAGAACCAGAGGCAAACTGAAATGGAAAGAGCCAAGAGGTGGCCTGCCACCCTGGGGTTCCAGGGTACTGATTCCCTTGGCAACAGGTGCAGACAGCAACCCTGGGTTCTTTCATTCAGGCCCAGCTGTCCCAAGAACCAGCTGTGGGGCTGCATTTTAAGATGTTCAGGCCCCAAGCACAGACACTTGGATGGCTGGGAGGGGACTGAGAGGGACTGGATTTGTGAGTGGGCACTCAGTGAATCCACTTCAGAAACCACAATCTGGGTAACAGCCAAAGGTGACTGCAGACACCCACTGCCACCACGACTCTAGTTTTCTGACCCCTTCTGAAGCCTCTTGTAGGGGACTGTGGTATGTGACAGCCCCTCTGCCTCCTTCATCCCCTTTCTCCCATAGACCCAGCCAAAAAAGGAGCCATCGAAGCTCTTAGTGTTTATATCTGTATCTCTCCATGTCTTCTTTTGTGTAAGAAGAGGATGTAAGTAAGAACACACATTTGGGGTTCTTTATATTTGCATAAGGGAACCCAGGGAGAATACATAATTGATACAAGTGGGTATGTGCGGGGTGCTAGGAGAATAGGGATTCAGGTGAGAACGAGAATTCTCAATGTATACCTTGTTATAGCATTGTGATTTGTGAACCATATAAATGTATTATCTACTTAAAAAAATATAATTCTATTTTAAAAGCAAAACTGAAACCAAGAGCACAAAGGCTCCATCATACCCTCCAGAGCCTTGCCCAGAGGGTCTGCCTCACCAGTGGTTGCCTTGTGTTCTCTCCCTCCCAGCATCTCCCCAGAGCAGGGCAGGGCTACCTCTCGGTCAGTGTTTGGGGACCGCAAGCAGGCCATGCAGGCATCCATGGCCTCGTGCCACGGGAGCAGCAGTGCCTCGGGGAAGTCCACCAGCTGCATCAGGATTCTGGGGGACAGAGGCGGGAGAGCAGAGAGATGGCAGTCAGCCTCAGAGACGCCCTTGGCCCAAGCCCGCCTCTGACCACGCCCTCACCTCAGAACGGTCAGGTGCAGCGCCCTGTTCGTCTCCGGAGTGTCCAGACTCTGCATCAGCGTGAGGAAGGGCTGGGGCTGCCGCTGCAGCTGCCGCAGGAACGGCTTGACTTTGCTCTCCTGGGTCCCTTCCGAGCTGAGGGCTTGCTCCAGATCCAGGAGGATTTTCCCAGCAGGACCATAACCCTCCACCAGATGCTGCAGGGGAGTGTTGGGGCTCTGAGATGGGGGTTCTTTCACTACAGGAAGTGGGGAGTCCCAAGAGTTGGCCACTGTTAGTAATGTGAAGGCTCAGCGAAGGATAGACAGATTCATAACTCTCAATCTTTTTTCTCTAATTTCTCCTAAAAATGGTTTTAATTTCTTTTGTCCCCCTAAAAGTTACATTTGGGGATCTCATAACATCTCTTAATGTACTTATATGACAACTTTATGACAGATTTTACATTTTGTATTCTTAAAATAACAAAGTAGCTTTCTGGCTGGGCGCGGTGGCTCATGCCTGTAAGCCTAGCACTCTGGGAGGCCAAGGCTGGAGGAATGCTTGAGCTCAGGAGTTCAAGGCCAGCCTGAGCAAGAGCGAGACTCCCTCTCTACTAAAAACAGAAAAAATTAGCCAGGCGTGGTGGCACGTGCCTGTAGTCCCAGTTACTTGGGAAGCTGAGGCAGGAGGATCGCTTGAGCCCAGGAGTTTGAGGCTGCTGTGAGCTAGGCTGATGCCACGGCACTCTAGCCTGGGTAACAGAGTGAGACTCTGCCTCAGAGAAAAAAACAAAAAACAAAGTAGCCTTCTGTCTCCGAAGAGCAGAGCTTTTCCCTGCCTTTAAAGGCATGTAATTATTTGTCTTTCTCTACAATAGAAAAAGTTAAATGTGCAAGCTTCTTTAAGGCTTCAAAAATCTCTTGCAATTTTCTTACTTCACATCCTCCTTCATTCTTTAAGGGAACATGTCTGCTTCTCCATTGGTTACTTATCCCTAAGTTCAGATTTTTCATAAGGTACCGTCTCTTCCAGATAGGACTGCACAAAAATCAGCACAGACATCCATCCTGTGCTAATGCCCTAAAGGCAAGTCTGCTCAGCTGCTGTGTCTGTCTGGCACCTACCTTCCACTCTGGCTGCATCTTCTGATTCCTGAGCCTGGGCCCGGGCTTCCAACAGGAGGACATCTTGCTGGGTTTCTAGAAGGGATGGGTAGGCTTCAGGCCCATATTTCCTATAGACACGGCAGTTGATCAGGTCCCTGAGGGCGCTGTCATCAAGTCGCTGTGGTAGAGACAGCAGCAGGTCCTGGGCCAACTCTATGGGCACGGCCAGCTCAGCCAAGATCTCATCATCCAGGATGTGCTGTCAGGGAGAAACTCTCACTGCAGGCAGCCCTGCCAGCATGGAGGCTCCAGGGGCCCTTGGTAGGGGTGGGGATCTCTCTGCACATACGTCCTCTCATGGCTGGCAGCTGGCTTCCCCCAAACAGTTCACCAACAGCTCCCACCTCCGAACATTCCAGACCCCTCTCCTCCCCAGATAGCCCCTTATGCTATCTGACCTCCACTTTTCATCCTGAGCCTTCCAAATGCTCTACATAGTCCAGCCCTTGCCGTGGAGCCCTCCAACCTCTGAGTGTCTCCATGCTGGCTCTACCTCCCCATCTAGGTTCTCCTGGAGGATCTGGAGAACCTCCTGATGGCCAGGTCCATCCAGCTTCTTGATGAAGAAAAGGAGCTCCCACCACTCAGCCTGGGTCAGGTGTTCACTCTCCTCAGTGTCCTCATCCTCGGGCAGCACATAAGGTACAGCATAAAGCTCTGTCATCGGCTTCCAACGCCAGGAGGGAAGGGCTGTGGAAATGCGCCACGGGGCACAGGGATGTCAGTGTCCACCCAGCCAGCCACTGCTCCCCTGCTCAGAGCTGATCCCTGCTTCCTCTCTGAGCTCACCTCTACCTGGGGCTCCACTGACCACTGCCCCCTGGTGCTCATCAGCCGCGACCACATCCTCAATGTCCTCCTCAAAGCCCAAGATCTCCAGCATGTGCCAGTGCACCCAATAGGTGCGGCCCGTTGACTCCCACAACACCTGGAGGACAGGGAACAAAAGAGAGGGAAGGGGAAGAGAGGTCACTAGTGACTGCCTGTGGCTCAGTTAATGAGGACATACAGCTCTCAGGGTGACCACCAAATAGCAAAACACTAGCATATGGAGAACACACAAACACAAAACAGATGCCTTCTCTCCTGGGGATGAGACTGCCTCTCCTCTCACCCAATCCTTGATGGCTTATGCTTCTACACTTCCTCCTGGCTTCGACCACCCCATCTCCTGACCTTGACCTTTAGGGGATTCTTGCTATGTCAGTTTCTTCCTGAGTGTGAGTCTTCTTGATCTCACGGCTTCCTAAACCAGATATTGGCAGCCCTCCAAATGGTCCCTCTCTTACCTGCTGACCCCTTTTCACCACCCCAGTCTTACTGAGGGTTTTCTCCTTGGGTGGCCTGCCGGAGCCCCCTGCATGGAAGTGCAGCTATGCTCCACTCAAAATAGATGCCCAGCAGCATCCCACCACTGTGATCGCTCACCTGCGCAGGGGGCACGCCACTGTTGCTCTGCCGGAACTCGCCTTCATCCCCAGCACTGATCTCCTCGTAATCAGCCAGCATCCGCACTCGCATCCCCGGCTGCAGCGTGTCCCGCACATATAAGGCATAGGTATTGCCACTTGCAAACTCAGAGCGGGGGCGAAACCGCTTTGACCTCCTGAGGGAGGGCTGGGCCTGGCTGGGTGGAAGCCCTGGGCCCGCATCTGCCAGCTGAGGCTGGAAGATGGAACAGGAGGGCTGTGCTGAGCTCCCTGGTCTGCTTGCGGCCCGGTCCCAGCGCATGGCCTGCACTAGCTCCGAGATCAGGGTGCCCATGGCCATACTGAACTCCAGCTCCAGCCGACCCCTCTCCCCACTCAACTCTTCAGGATCAGAGTTGTTCTGGGCTCCTGGTTCTGTAGCACTGTCATTCAGCTGATCCAGGAGTGAGGTGACATACAAATAGTGCTTCACCAGGGAGAAGAGCAGCCTTCCTGGGACCTGTGGGATATAACCTTTGGCTTACATCCACCTTGTCCCATCTTTGGCCCCTCCTTCCACACTGTCCTCTGTAAACAGGTGCAAAAACCTGGTCTTTAGGTCTTGTTACAGCTGTCCCCACCCTGCACCCCCACAGGATACCTGTGGCAGCTGAATGCCCTCGAAAGACATGGGATGCTCAGAGAGCGTGGCCTGTGCAAACAGTGCCAGCAGAGCACAGCGGCTGTCAAAATCCAGGTGTTTCTCAATGGCCTCTTGTTGGCTCAGTGACAGAAGGATCTGGGTCCGGGTCCCTGTAACCCAAACCCCAATCAGTAACTGCTCCCTAACTTCACCCTTCCCAAGCATCATCTCTCCTAGACCCTCCACTCTCTCGATCCAATCCTTTTGCCACCACAGTGGGAGTGACATGATTTGCTGATTGTTTTAAAAGCCAAAATTTACTACCTTATTCACACAAACACACACACACACACACACACACACACACACACACATGCAATCTGCCATAGGCTAAACTCTTCCTTTGCATAGAAAGCCAACTAATTAATATGTGGTTCCTGAGGATTCACTCTTTCCTCTTCCAGCAGAGATGCCCACCTCCCCACGTCCACCCCCATTCCCATCTCCTTTCTTCCAATTCTAAGAGAAAGGCAATAGAATCATTTACGTACTGATGAGGTCAGAGGCTCCTGCCACAGTGTCCTGTGAGTCCCTGAGCCGACCCAGCCCCTCTCCTGCTTTCCCTTCCTCCCCATACTGCCCCTCACCAGCGTCATGGGAGGACAGGGCTTGTATCATCCGGCCGGCACTCCAGCGAATCTGATAATCGGGACTACTCAACATGTGCATAAGCAAGTCCAGGACCCTTGGGTCTTTGAATACCCCAGTGAGGGGCTCGATGCTGGCATAGGCACTGAGCACATGGACAGTATGAAGCAGAGGGGCGGGAGGGATGGTGCCCACACATTCCTCTAGTTGCCGAAGGGCTCTCTGAATCAGGCACTTCACATCGGTTTCCATCTCCCCCAGCACAGATTTGTCCAGGGCCCCAGCCTCCCCTGCAGACTCCTGGGAGGGCCCGATGACCTGGCCATCCTCGCCCAGCATCTTGTGGCAGTTGGCATAGATCTCGTCGTTGGACATCCATAGCAGGATGTGCTCAGCCTTGCAGTCCACTTGGCTGGAGCCCCCTTCCCCATCATCCCCACGCCTGAGGATGAGCCAGCGAATCTGGTACTCAGGATGCCCATTGTGGCCCACCCGCTGGCGGATCAGCTCATCAGGATAGGCATGTAAGCCCGGCCCCAGGGGCACCCTGAATTCCCTGTAGCGAAGTTCCCCCACCATCCTGGCACCTGGAACACACGGGAAAAGAACAGGCAAGCTGCAGTGAGAGGGGAGGTCAGAAAATTAAGGACATCCAGGAGTTGGGGAAGCAAATGGCAACAGCTGTCGGGCTGGAAAGCAGGGCCCAGGAGTTGCCCGCTGCATGCTGGGTGGGGCCAGGCTTAAATAGACAAACAGTGGGTATTTGTTCTGAGAGAATACAAAATTTGAGGGCTAAAAGGAAGGTCTCCAAGGCTCTGCAGCCTGGAGTGGATTAGTTTGGAACAGTGGGAGGAGGACAATAGGGGCAGGCAGCGTTGGAGTTACAGTGAATCCCCAGGCCTTGCGACAAGGGCAGCAGCCCTGGGAAGGAGGTGTGTTAAGCCCAAAGGGGAATGTGGGGGTGTTGGGAGGGAGATCCCCACTGTGTGTGCAAAGGGCAAAGGGGTGCTATCTCTAGGAATGAAGCACAGGAGTGTAAGTCTCAGAGGCAAGAAGAGACCCAGAGCACCGGTGGTGGAGGGCAAGCCCCGGGAGCGATGGGCTGGGAGGAGGGTCTGGTGGCGGCGCTGCGCGAGGCACAGGGCAGAGCAGGGCGCACAGGAGAGCCGGTGGGTGAGGGGCGCGATGCTTGGGGATGGAAACCGGGGACCCAAGAGGAGACCCAAGGGGCGCGCGGTAGGGTGCGAGAGGGGGGCTAGGCCCGATAAACTAGAATCCCGAGGCACGGCAGGACAGGGGGACGCGAAGTCCGGTGAGCGCGAGGCTCGGTGGGCGAGTGAGCGGATGAGAACCCAGGGTAAGGGCAGGGGGCCGCGGCGGGGCTCTGGCCACCTCAGAAGTCCACCGGGGTCCTGGCGCGAGGCCTGTCCTTCGCAGAGCTAGGGACGCGGGACAGACGCTGGCGTCGACGCGGGCGAAGATTTGGGCCCAACAGAGGCCCCCCGAAGGGGTCGAGGCGGAAGAGGCGGGAGGGGGCGTGCCTCGGCAGGACAGGCAGGGGGCGTGGCGCGCGGGGACTCAGGACTCCAGGGCCGAGCCACTGTCCCTGCCGGTGCGTGGGTCGGCGGCCGCTGGGGCAGCGCGGAGCCTGGTCTCTGCCTGCGGCGCCGCGCGCCCAGCTCCGAGGGCTCTGCTACCCCGCAGAGCCACGGCTTATTTCCGCCAGACCCAGCGGAAAGCCAGGGGCCCTGGGAGCGCGCCGGGGCGGAGCTACGGGTGCCACCGCGGCTACGCGCGGCACCTCCTCTGCACCGCCCTTTCCTTTTTTCCTTTTGGTCCTCCTCCTAACGCCGGAAGTGCCTCCCTGTTTCCCAAAATCCGAGCCAGAAAAGACCTCCGAGGTCATTTATTGCCCTCCTCCTCCATTATATGTAAAGGCTCTGGGCTTGGGGCTCCATCCTGTCCTTTTCATTTTCTTTCTCTCATACTTTTTGCTTTTTTTCCCACACTTAGTCTGTACCATCCTTAACCCCCCTAAAAAAACAGTTAACAGATTAAAATGGGGGGACCATTTTATTAGAGTCCAGGAATATCATCAGCTTTGGGCAGCAGCGGAGGGCAGCTTCACATAACTCTTCATGGGGGGCAGTGGTCGAATCTTTCGGCCAGCCCAGCCCCCCTTGCGGTGCCATAGCCCGCTGGAAGGCCTCTTGCCCAGCCAGCGGTTGCGACCTGCCTTGCCGATGACCCGTTTGTTATGATCCACGTTGGATACTCGCCCGACTGTTGCTATGCATGTTTCCAGTACCTGACAGAGAAAGCAGATGGAGGAGAATGCACAGTCAGGGGTGGGGGTGAGGAAGCCTGACAATGTTGAGGGCACCACTTTTGGGAGGCTTCTTAAACACTCATTGAAAAGGGAGAGGAGAGGGGGAAAGCACAACATGGTCGAACCTAAATGTGGGTCCACAGTAGAAACTGGGTAATTGAAAAAGAAAGTCATCCTCCCTATTCCATCATGGTGCCAACCTGACAAGACACACCTAGTCATGTGGCAGAAAAGGACAGATCCAGCTCAAGGCAGTTCCTAGCACCATAAAACACCTGGGAGCTATCCCAGGAAGGCAAGGTACATTCCAAAAATTCCTCCTTTGCTGATCCCTCCCACCGGGACCCACACACACCTGCATCTGCCTCTTAGAAGGCAGCTGGATGATGGCTGTCCCATTTACCTTCCGAAGCAGCACACCACATGTCCCTGGGGAAAGAAGTAGTTTTGCCACCCTCCACAGAGAGGAGGCATTGGCGGGGACAGAGAGGGAATTTATAAAGGGCCATATCCCACATGCTGGCCTTGCCTTGCCCTTTAGGAGCAGATACAACAAAGAAGCATGCATGCAATGTTTTAGATCAAAACGCAAGCTCATCTTCATCCTCATGTTCCTTTTCTTCTTTTTCTGTGCCAGTACCAGATGTAGATCCATGGGTTCAGAGAACTGTGACCTCAGGCACTCCTTGGCCTTCCAAATTGTAAGACCCAGGCAGCTCCTTTTCCCATACCTGAAGCTCGGATATACTGGGCCCCCCGGCCTGGCTCACTTTCCACATTGTTGATGAGGGTCCCCACGGGCAGGGCCCCAAGAGGATGTGCATCCCCTTCCCGAGCAGCAACTAAAAGACAGAATTTCATCAGCGCTAGAACCTTTGCAGCCACCAGCCCACCCATCTGGTAGCCATCTCTCACCTGCCATTCTGCCTATGTGGTTAGAGTTCAGGATTATATCTCCAGCCTGCATATTTTCTGTGGCAATGATCCAGCGTTTCCGGCTACCTCCAGCAACCAGAGCTATGTCTGCTGACCTGTTCAGGGTGAGGGACAGGTGAGCAATCCATCTAGGCAGTCCCACATCTTCTAAGAAGCTACACAGCAGTTATTCAGACCCCATCATCATCGTCCCAAATCCCAAACTTGCCTACAGGGATCATAGCGGACCATGACAACCTTCTCCTCAAAGGGTCCGGGCTTGGTCTCTTGTTCAGGCCGGAAACGCAGAAAGTCAATCATGCGATAAAGTTTCTTGTGGCCCCCGCCAATACCATGCACTCGGATGCGGCCTGTGGTCAGGATAGTTCAGGGACATGTTCTGGGTCAGACTAGTTCACCTCCCAGCATCAGAAACTGGCCCATCCTCAGCCGTGCTTCTCAGCATTATGGCACAAGCAGAAAATGATAAAAATTTGCTCCAGCACAGTGTACTGGAGCAAGGGGAGGTAGGGCAACACCTACACAAAACTTGGTCAATTGTATAAAGCTTCCAGGTAAAATCTTTTCAAATCATGGAATTCAGTAAGTTTAGAGAGCCATATAAATCATACTCAAATAATTCCAATTGTTACAAAAAAAATTTTTTTTTTCTTTTAAAGACACAGGGTCTGTGTTGCCCAGGGTAGACTGAAACTCCTGGGCTCAAGTAATTTTCCTGCCTCAGCCTCCCAAGCAGCTAGGACTACAGGCACATGCCACTGTGCCTGGCTGTTATAAATTTTTGAAGTGTGTGAAGAAAAATGTCATGACACTTCCTGTGTATGGCCAGTTTTCTTCAACTATTGTCTTTCTTTTTGGGACAGGGTCTCACTCTGTCACCCACGCTGGAGTGCAGTGGCACAATCATAGCTCACTGCAGCCTTGAACTCCTGGCCTCAAGGGATCCTCCACCTCAGCCTCTGGAGTAGCTGGGATTACAGGTAAGAACCACCGTGTGTGATTGTCTTTAGGGGCACAGACTAGTTCTCTGTTGCTTTGTATTCTATTCTCTGGCTTCCATGTACATACTATGATGTGCAGAAGGAGCCCAATAAATGCTTACTTACATTCCTCTGCCTTACAAGGTATAAATGTGTTAATATACAGGTCTAGGGTACTAGCATGTTTTCCCCCTTTATGCTTAACACATTAACTGCCATGTGAGTTGTATTTAACTCACACTAGTTTTGAGCCCAGGCCTCCTGGAGCATATGTAACTCACATCTCTCTTCACCTTGGGAGCAGCAAGAACTATTTTTCAAGTTGCATATAACTCATGCACAGAAAACAATTAAAAATAACAAATTTTTCCTTAAATTAGAAAGATCATATTGTTTTGAAAGTTTTTATTCTATTTGTGTAATAAAACACCATAGCCCCAAGGAAAAAATTTTGTTCTAGTGTGGCAGTCAATGTGTTAAATCCCTTTGCTCCCACCTGTATGGTCTCGGCCCCCAGACTTCCTCATCTTCACTGGTGTAATGGTGTACTTGGTACGACTCTTCCAGGACATAAAGTCGGCACTAAGGGCCACGGAAGTAAGGACTGGGCGGCAGGGGAGCAACACCAAGGCAGAAGGCAATCGGAGGAAGGCATTGTTCATCACCTAGGGAAAAAAAGAAATCACTTTCACTTGAAAGCTAGTTGAAGGAAAAGCATCAGAGAACCAACAGGGCACAGACCAATTTTAGCTTGTAGCCCAGTTCCTCTTGGAAGTATCCTAGACCAGCTGTTCGAAAACTCCACCCTTTATAGCTTGCATGGATACCAGTGTAGAATGTTTATCCAGATGTATGTGTGTTGATTACCTCTCCTCATTTGATCTTCTCACCTCTCAAGTATTTCGTCAATGGAATGTTCTCCCCTTGGTCATTTCCTTCCAAATTTGGTTGAAAACTCTCCATCTTCAGGAAGTCTTTTCCTTCCCTAAACAACTGCCTTCTTCAGAGCTGGTAAATTCCACACATCCATGTACCACCATTAGCACCCAATGCCTTGTGCCCTCTGCATTATGTTTCTGGGAGTTTTTCATATATGAATGGAAGGGAGGGATCATTTCTGTCTTGTTCCTTGCTGTATATTCCCAACATTTCAGAGTAGAGTGGTTTGGTTTTGAATTTTAAATATGCATCTGCCAAACTCCACCATAATCAACCAGAGAGCTGCAGAGGGGCAAAACTTACAACTTCTCTTTTCTGTGACTCACCAGTTGCCCACTAGGGACCTTAGGATACCTTCACCTGAGGCCCGTATTCTTGGTATCTTGCCCTGCATTCTCTAATCTTAGCAATAACTCATCCTTGTAGGTATAATATCATAATGATTAAGAACACAGGCTCTGAAGCCAGACTGCCTAGCTCCAATAGTTGGTTTGTGATCCTGGACCGCTTATCAGTTGTCTCATCTGTAAAATGGGAACGATAATAACTTCCTTGTGGAGTGGTTGAAAGTTCATTTATTTGTAACATCTATCACTTATGCCTGGCTTATCATAGGCACTCAATCGATGTTAGTTATTACTGAAATCTGTTCAACCGGTGATCTGCAAAGCATTTTCACCTCCGGTATCTCGTCTGCTATACAAGGTAACGTACCTTCGAGACTCCTGACCAAACTCGCAACCCCTTCCCCGGCAGCTCAAACGGAAACAGCCTTCTTCCTGGTTAAGGTGTATTACCTGGGCGGCGGGGAGCAGACTCGGGACAGGAGCGGCGACGGCCGGGGGCGCCAGCCTCAGGGAGCCCAGAGCGCGGGTCAGTGCCAACAGGGCCATAGGTGTAGCCAGGCTCTGCTGGGCTCAGCACGCCACCCTTACCTTTAGCCAGGCTACCCGGCGCTCCCGGATGACGTAAACTGCTCCCAGCGCAGTCTCTCTCCAATAACGTAAAAGGAGGCGGGCAGAGAAGTGGAGACCAAGGTGGATGTATACCTCCTTTCCTCCCTGAACCGGGTCAGCGCCAATCCTCGGGCGGCTCTAAGGTCGCGTGACTAAGGGACAGGCTCCGCCCCTCGGAGCCGTCAAAACAATTGCCTCCAGCGGCAGCCATGATGAATTTAAAGGGGCAGTACTGGCAAGATCGGCAGCAAGACCGACAGATTGCGGGTGAGTCTTTGAGGGTACCTCTGGGGCTGAGGATTGAGGTCCCCGCCACCTCTTATTCCCGCACTCCCAGACAGATGAACAAACCCTCTCCAACCAACCTCACCAAATTCCGGACTCAAAAACTCCGCCCCCCGCGATTCTTCCCCGCCCCTTGGCGTCCAGACAGACAGACAGACGGCCTGCCCCGCCCCCTGTGCCACGGACTGGCTCGGTGACCTGGGGATTGTCAGGCCGCCAGGTCCTCGCCCGTGACGCGGACCTCAGTCTTCCAACAGCACCTCCCCCCACCCATCTCACTGTATCCCCACCCTGGGCCCCAGGGCAGGTCGACAGCCTGAGACACTCCTCAACCGCATTTCCAGGTCCAGGAGAGCAGCTCCCAGCGCCGCGTTTCCCTGTGACCCCGCAGCCACTCAGCAGACCTCCCATCCTTCCCTGCATCATCAGGCATTTGGGAGGCACCCTAAGGTGATTCAGAGCCTGTTAGTAGGTGATCGTGACAGAGACAAAGCCCATGGAAGTGACTGGGCTGGGAGTGACCAGGTAGTCCTCTTCACTCATTCCCAGACACGCCCCTTGCTGCAGGTGTCTGATTAAATCTCTCACTCCCTTATTGGGAGAAAAACTCCTGGGGCCTGGGGTGGGAAGCTGGCTTGGGGAAGGAGAAGGGACATTGGCGTCTTTGAAGACATGTAGGCAGAGGGAGGGAGGGAGTGTGTTTGTCCTGGGTAGGGCTCTGTGCCAGGTCCTCTGGGTGGCTGTGAAGTGGTGAGAGAGGGGGTGGGAATGCTGGACTTCTGGACTTTGGGCAGGGCAGAGCCTTCTGAATCGCTGGCTGCTGAGCAGAGTTTCTTCCGGGCTGCGGCCTGAGTGCCTCGGCCAAGGGCTCTGCTCACAGGTAAGAGGACTTCAAAGATGAGAAACAAGGCCCTTTTGAGGAAATGGGAAGACAGCCTGAATCCTGGGGGACTGGGAAGTATGGGTTGAAGGTTAGTGGCAAAAGACGCAGGGCCAACCAGGTTTGGAGATGCTGGGCTTAGTTCCATGGGTGACACAGCCTGAAGACCTTGAGCCTTCTGAGGCCCTCTCATCTGGATACTTCAAGGAAGGCTCCTGTTTTCTTTTCCCTTTCTTCTCTGATTTAACTTTGAAACGTATTTCTTTTTCTTTCTTTCTTTCTTTTTCTTTCTTTCTTTTTTTTTTGTTTATTTTGCGACAGAGTCTTGCTCTGTTGCCCAGGCTAGAGTGCAGTGGCATCATCATAGCTCACTGCAACCTCAAACTCCTGAGTTCAAGAGATCCTCCTGCCTCAGCCTCCCAGAGTGCTAGGATTATAGGCGTGAACCACTGCATCCGGCCTCTTCCCTTTTTTCTAACCCCCTGCACCATTTTCTGCATATCTCCTGTCTACTTTAACCCTATTCCCTTTGTAGCTCTCCCATCCACACTCCATGATCCCTGTAGTGCTGTCTCTTATCCCTTGATTCCTTTTCCTAACTCAAGCTCTCTCTCCAACTCCTTTTCTAAGTCCTGAATCCCTCTGCTAGTTCTAAGCACCTTTGTTCTTTCTGTAGTCTTTATTTAAGTCAATTTCTATCCCTCTCTTTTTGCCCACAATCTTAGCTTTGTGTTTAGTGATGTAGGCTCCCTCCCTACTGATCACTTTCTCTCTCTCCAGCTAAGTCACAGGGTCACCCATACTTTTGTCCCTTCATTTGTATCCCTACCACCCTCTAACCAAGTTGGTCAGCCTCTCTGTCTCATCTTTACCCCAGCTGAACTCTGTTATTTCTCCCTAGACTGGGTGACTTCTCCCTGGCCAGGATGTCAGGCCTGGTGTTGGGGCAGCGGGATGAACCTGCAGGGCACCGGCTCAGCCAAGAAGAGATCCTGGGGAGCACGCGGCTAGTGAGCCAAGGGCTGGAGGCCCTACACAGTGAACACCAAGCTGTGCTGCAAAGCCTGTCCCAGACTATTGAGTGTCTGCAGCAGGGAGGCCATGAGGAAGGGCTGGTACATGAGAAGGCCCGGCAACTGCGCCGTTCTATGGAAAACATTGAGCTCGGGCTGAGTGAGGCTCAGGTGAGAGGGCGGAGGTGGTGCCAAGTGGTCTGGGGTGGATGGAGGAGCAGTTGTCTGAGTGGACGTTTGGAGTCACTTGGGATCACTTTGTCCTAGATGCTTGCATTCTTTTAGTAAATGTGTATTGACTACTCTGTGCCAGGAACTCTTTTGGGCACTGGAGATACATCACTGAACACAACAGTAAAAATCTTTGCATCTTGGAGCTTGCTTTCTAGCTGGGGGAGACAGACAATACACAAGTAAATAAGTAAAAGATTCATTATGCCAGAGTGATAATTGCTAAGGATAAAACGATAAAAATAGGCCAGTTGTGGTGGTTCATGCCTATTATTTTAACACTTTGGGAGGTCCAGGCAAGTCCAGGAGGATTGCTTGAGGCTAGGAGTTTGAGACCAGCCTGGGCAACGTAGTGAGACCTTGTCCCTAAAAACAATAAAAATTAGCCAGGCGTGGTGGTACATGCCTGTAGTCCCAGCTACTCAGAAGGCTGAGGCAGGAGGATCGCTTGAGCCTGGGAGTTTGAGGTTGCAGTGAGCTATCGTGGCACCACTGCACTCCAGCAGCCTGGGTGACAGAATGAGACCTTGTCTCAAAAATAAAGAAAGAAAGAGAGAAAGGAAGAAAGCAGAAAAGGAAGCCGGGCATGGTGGCTCATGCCTGTAATCCTAGCTCTCTGGGAGGCGGAGGCAAGAGGATCGCTTGTTCTCAGGAGTTCAACACCAGCCTGATCAAGAGTGAGACCCAATCTCTACCAAAAAGAAAAGAGGAAAAAAAAAGCAGAGAAGGAGACTAGGGATATGGAGGGAGGTGACATTTGGGCAAAGATTTGAAGGCGAGGGAATGAGACATGCAGTGAAAAGGGGCAGGGTGTGTTAAGCAGAGAGAACAGTAAGTGTAAAGGCCCTGAGTTGGGGCCTGCCTGGTGAGTTCAATGAATAGCGAGGGGCCAGTCAGGCTGCAGTAGAGTGAATGAGGGGAAGCAAAGGGTTGGGGGAGAGGGAGACAGATCATGTGGAACTTGTAGGCTATCATGAGGACTTTGTTTTTACTTTGAGTGAGATGGAAACTATTGGAATGTTTTGAGAAGACAAGTGATATGGTCTAACTTGACGTCATCTGGCTGCTGGATTGAGAATAGACTCTAGGGGAACAAGGACAGAAACAGGGAGGCCAGTGAGGAGGCTATGGTAGTAATCCAGTTGGGTATGGATAGTGGCTTGGCTTTGGGTGATGGCGGTAGAGGTGGTGAGTGAGTGGATTCAGGGTATATTTTTGAAGGTAGAGCCATTGCTACCACCCCCACCTCCTGGCTCCTCTCTGCCCCTACTAGTCTTGCCACCTCCTAGTAGGCTCCCTTCCTTCCTATCCCTGAACACTCCCACCCAGAGTCTGGAGCTCATGGGATGTGCCCACCTAGGTAATGCTGGCTCTAGCCAGCCACCTGAGCACAGTGGAGTCAGAGAAACAGAAGCTGCGGGCTCAGGTGCGGCGGCTATGCCAGGAGAACCAGTGGCTCCGGGACGAGCTGGCCGGCACCCAGCAGCGGCTACAGCGCAGTGAACAGGCTGTGGCTCAGCTGGAGGAGGAAAAGAAGCACCTGGAGTTCCTGGGGCAGCTGCGGCAGTATGACGAGGATGGGCACACTGCGGTAAGCATGCGCAGGCAAAGCTGGCTGGAGGGCAGGCAGCTGGGAGTTACCACAAACGTGGGGGCAATGGCCTCATCATCCTCAGGGGCCAGCAGCTCTGCCCAATGGGGAAACAATATTCACTCATTCAGTCAACATTTAATTAAACACCAACTGTGTGCCAAGCACTGTGCACTCCACTGGTGAATGGGGCAGAGTTCCTGCTCTCATAATTATAGGTTTGTGAGGGGAGACAGATATGCACCTGGACAATTCCAATCCAGAATCCTGAGTGCTACCACTAGGAAAAGCATAGCCTAGTTGAGCGCGACCCTCTTAAAATCTGCTCTCAAAATGTGTGAAATTTAACCCTCACTTGAAAGTGTTTATGTATCTCTGTGTCTTACACAGCACAAGAAGACGTGTGTAGGAAAGATAAAGAACTATAAAAGAGAGTTCTTGTGTTCTTGAGTTTATAATGTACCCATAGGGAACAAGGCTTACACATGAGAACGTGGATGGGACAACGCAAAGCAGCAAGTGCTCAGTGATGGATGGGTGGTTCAGTCAGTGTGGGAGGAATTCCAAGGAAGACAGGTCCCTGAGGGCTGGAATGGTCTGAGAAGGATTCACAGAGGAGGCAGGGTACAAGGATGGGTAGGATTTACGTTGGATTTCTCATTCGAATGGGTTAGGAATGGGATGGATTTTGAAGGATGATAGGAAGAGGGAAGAGCTTCCTAGACTAGAGGTGGGGGTGTCATAGATAAGGCTTGGGGGCTGGAAAGCTGGTCTGTCCCAGGGAAAGTGAAGAGATGTTTTGCATAGGACATGTTGGTGGTGCTGGGTAGGAGGATTGGAGGTATTTTCATAAGGCTGCAGTTCCCAATGGGGAACTTTCCCAGTGTGGAAGCAGGGTAGACAGTGAGGGCTGGGCACTAAGTCCAGAATGGGCAGTGGCAGATGATGGGCACAAGGCTGAGCTAGACACTTTGGGTACGTGTCAATAAGATCAGACACACTCCCTCCCTCAGGAGAGACAGGACAGACATATAATCAATGTAAACACACAGGATCAGCACAGGGCTATCATTACATGAGTTGATGGGGGATTTAGGGTGGTTAGGAACGAAACCTTCTGGATGTAAAAGAAGGGAGGGTCATGAGATGTTGTCCAAAGCATCTCTGGCTGTTACAAATAAGAGAGGCCTGAGCTTTGCTAGGCCAGATGCTGGCCTTCCCAGAGACAGAGTCAGGAACAAGGCTCTTTTCCTAGGCCCCATCTGTCAGTGATTTCCTGGCTTAGAGAGGCCCCTGAAGAGGTCACTGGGGATATCTTGGCCCTGACATGCTCCTTCTTCCCTTCTAGGAGGAGAAGGAAGGCGATGCTTCCAAGGATTCCCTGGATGACCTCTTCCCCAATGAGGAGGAAGAGGACCCTAGCAATGGCTGTGAGTCTAGTCTGCCTGTGGAGATGGAGGATGAAGAGGGGCAGCAGGAGGATGGTTCCAGCTGTGGCCCACCCTGTACACAAGATGCTCACCATTCAGAAATAGGTCTCCACTTCCTCTGGAGGTGGGGCACAGGCTGGGCTAGTACTTTGATTTCCTCAGTGTCCCCGTTATTCATCAACATTTATTAAACACTCAATGTGTGCCAGGCACTGTGCTAGGCATGAGGAATACTGAGATGAAAATGACAGGTCTTGCCAGTAAGGAGTTCACAGACTAGTGGGAGAATGACCCTGAGATGGGAAAAGCACGAGCTCCTCAAGGGAAAGAACCAGGTCTGTCTCATCTTCGTATTCCTGGGACAGGCCCTGGCTCATGTTTATTGAATAAATGTTTGCTGAATGAATGAATTACTGGCTTACAAATGGGCTTGTGATGGACACAGGTGCAAAGGAGTGGGTAAAAGAATAGAAGTTGAGGCAGGTCTTGATTGAGAGCTCACTGGGGGCTGGGCGCAGATATGGAACAAGACATGGAGAGGGAAGTGGGGAGGGCAGACAGCAAGAGAGAGAGGAAGACTGGTCTGAGGAAGTCTCCTGTTCACTTTCTGGGATGTTTTAGTGTCTCGTGGCCAGGGCTCTGCAGCAGCCCAGCAGGGTGGATATGAGATCCCAGCAAGGTTGCGTACATTGCACAACCTGGTGATCCAGTATGCTGCCCAGGGTCGCTATGAGGTGGCCGTGCCACTGTGTAAGCAGGCACTAGAGGACCTGGAGCGCACATCTGGCCGTGGCCATCCTGACGTTGCTACCATGCTCAACATCCTTGCTTTGGTGTATCGGTGAGTACTGCCCTCCTCCATCAGCCAGAATCTTCCCCGCATTCCCACCTTGGTCCTCCTTTGGCTCCCGTTCTACCTTTCTGCAGGCAGGTTACGTCTCCTCCCTGCTGCGCCTCCCAGCTATACCCAACTAGGGTGCTTTCTCATGTATCGGAACACTCACTTCTTCCATACCCTAGCCCTTGACCTAGAAAGTAGTCATCTCTCAGGCTCTTTGCTCTTCCAGTTTGAGCAACATCTCTTTCTCCCTCTGTTTCTTTTTTTTTTTTTTTGAGACAGAGTCTCACTCTTTTGCCTGGGCTAGAGTGAGTGCCGTGGCATCAGCCTAGCTCACAGCAACCTCACACTCCTGGGCTTGAGTGATCCTGCTGCCTCAGCCTCCCGAGTAGCTGGGACTACAGGCATGCGCCACCATGCCCGGCTAATTTTTCTTTTTCTATATATTTTTAGTTTCTCCCTCTATTTCTATCTCCTGCTTCCTATGACTTGTGACTTCCTCTGGGGATGGCAGTGCTCTGCATTGTGGTATGAGTGTGTCAGTGAAGCCCTCTCACTGCCTGCACCAGGCGTCCTATCTCCCCATGGAAGTCCCTAATACCTAAATGTACCTCGGTCCTCGCAAAGGGGTGGAGAGAAGGAGATGTCTTGGGGGCAGAGTTCAGGGTAACCCCTGTCACTTTTGTCCTCTTCCAGGGACCAGAATAAGTATAAGGAGGCTGCCCACCTGCTGAATGATGCCCTCAGTATCCGGGAGAGCACCCTGGGCCGGGACCACCCTGCTGTCAGTAATCTTGCCTGCATCTCCCTCATTGCTCTTTTGACCTCTCTTAGCTTGTCCATCTGTTGCCCTCAAGCCACTTACTAGGGGTGTTTAGAAAGGAGGCATGAAAATGTCTTCCTTCCGGGCACTGTCCAGCGATCCTAGTGGTTCTCAATTCTCTGAGACTTAATGACTCCTTTTTATAATGAACATTTTCCTGAATTTTAATTCATAGATGATATATCCTACCTCCACATATGATTTCCAAAAAAGTTAATATGATACCCTAATTAATATAAGAGAAACAAGGAAAGTAACTTATGCTAACACAATATATACAATATAATAAGATAAAAATGTAATACAATAATAGCTGTATTAAATACAACTCTGCTAGAAGAAATAACAAAGTAGTCTGATATATAATGAATAACTTTAGATTTAAAAGAAGTAAGACCAGTAAGCCATTCCATATAAGAAATATTAATACTAGAGTTGGGCGCAGTGGCTTGCACCCATAGTCCCAGCTACTTGGGAGGCTGAGATGAGAGTATCACTTGAGCCCAGAAGTTTGATACTAGCCTGGGCAGCATAGCAAGACCCTGTCTCTAAAAAATTTTTTAAAAAGTACTAGAAAAATGAAAGAGCAGAAGTATGGGTAGATGCTCAATTAAAATGCAGTGTTATAATAAGCTATCACAGACCAGATTTATTTGCATACGATAAGAGAAAGAGAGAGGTAGACTTAAGTCATATATGATAAGAGAAAGAGAGAGGTAGCTGTAAGTCAGCATAGCATACCAGGGAAAATGATAGATTTTCAAAGTAGAGAAAATGAAAAATAAGACACTTTTAAAAATGAGCTACGTGAAAATAATTCCCTATGATATGACATGATGAGCAGGGATGATGTATCTCAGAAAACATAACTCCTATATTGATATCCCACCAAATGTCAAAGTTTACATTCAGTATTTGAATGTCTGGCAGTGTCTTTCTTTGCCTTCCCAAAGGTAATAGTGCCCCCAATCTTCATGGCAACCAGAAAAAAAAAAAAAAAAAAAAACTCCAGAAATTTCTAAAAATCCCCCTAGAGGGCGATACCACTCCATAGAGCCTCAGAGCCATCCTATTCAGCAGTTTCCCCTCCCCTCAGCCTCTGGCTAGGGTAACAGAGTACGTGTCTCTTGCAGTCGTGCAGTGTGGGGCCCTGCTGTATAAATAGGGGAACCTCAGACTCTCATAGGTCGTTTGCAGCATCAATGTCTGATGGGGACAGGCCTCTCTTCATAGGTGGCTGCCACACTTAACAATCTGGCTGTGCTCTATGGCAAAAGGGGCAAATACAAGGAGGCGGAGCCATTATGCCAGAGGGCACTGGAGATTCGAGAAAAGGTAGGTACCCATGCCTTCTCTCCATTCTTCCCTTGTCGCTGTAACCCCTTCTCCACATCTCTCCTCTGGTCTGACCCTTCTCCCTCACTTCTTTTTTTCTCATCTGGCTATCTCTGCCTCATTTCCTCTTCCATCATTCCCTTCCCTCTGCTGTCCACTCGTGCATGCATGTGTGCAAACACACACACGTGTGCATGTGCACACACATAATCATAACCATTTATTCACTCCTTTGCTCCCTTTCAGGTCCTGGGCACTGACCACCCAGATGTGGCAAAGCAGCTGAACAACCTGGCTTTGTTGTGCCAGAACCAGGGCAAGTATGAGGCTGTGGAACGCTATTACCAGCGGGCACTGGCCATCTATGAGGGGCAGCTGGGGCCAGACAACCCTAATGTAGCTCGGACCAAGAACAACCTGGTAAGGAAGGGAGGGACAAAGTGGGTGGAAGGAGGAAAAGGGAAAGGCCACCTGGGGCCTGGAATTGGGAAGCATCATAATCTGGTACACTATTCTCATCAACTTTGTACCCATCTCTGGGGCTGCCTTTGGGGATGAGGGATCTGCTTCGTTCCAGTGGCAGAAGTTTCCTTGGGAGTGGGGTGAAAATACCCTTGATGCTATAGATAGAAAAGAAGATGTGAGGAGGATCTCTGGGGAGAGTCATAGAGACACCAAAAAGTGGAACTCCCTGAGCCCGGCTGAGACCTTGTCTCCCTCCATCTCTTCCTTCTGTATTTTTGCCTTCCTGCCTCCCAGGCTTCCTGTTACCTGAAACAGGGCAAATATGCTGAGGCTGAGACACTATACAAAGAGATCCTGACCCGTGCCCACTTGCAGGAGTTTGGGTCTGTGGATGGTGAGTGGTGAGGGCCTGGGGAGAGGGCTGCAGGGAGGTAAAGAAATGCAGACTAAAGGTGAGGGGTTAGGCCACAGTGGTTCTCAGGGGGAGCCAGACCCCTGTAGTCCAGACTTGTCAGCCTCTGGGTCCTGCTTCCCCCTGTACTCTCCAGCTCCATCTCTAACCTCCCTATCCCACCCATGTATCACCCCTAGGCGACCACAAGCCCATCTGGATGCATGCAGAGGAGCGAGAAGAAATGAGCAAAGTGAGTGGAGGGTGGCAGCCTGGGGAGCCCGAGGCTATTGGGGTCTGTGTCTTACTCCCTGCATTAGCCCAGCTGTTTCCCACCCAGCACCAGCCCCAGATGTGTGGTGCTTTCCTCAACCCAGCCTGTACCCTAGCCCCATGCCAGCTTATACCTAGCATTTCTTTACTTTCATCTCTGACTCCCTCCCCTTCCCCCTCTGTCCTATAGAGCCGGCAACGTGAGGGCAGCACACCCTATGCTGAGTATGGAGGCTGGTACAAGGCCTGCAAAGTGAGCAGGTGAGCTGCCAGCGAAAAGCTTGTTTGGCCTTCCATACCCTCCATCCAAGCCCTGATCCCAGCCTCCTGGACCCTTTTCCTTCTTTCCTTAACCTTCCCTTGACCTTAGCTCTGCTCCGTCTCTTTCCTGGTTTCGTTTCTTATCCCATGCTCTCTTCCTTCCTTGGTCTCACCCCACACAGCCCCACAGTGAACACTACTCTGAGAAACCTAGGAGCTCTGTACAGGCGCCAGGGAAAGCTAGAGGCAGCTGAGACCCTGGAAGAATGTGCCCTGCGTTCCTGGAAACAGGTCAGAAGCCTGCAGGGGAAGGAGGTCTAAGAAGGAAGGGCCCTGGAGACAAGGGACCACTGAGGCTTCTTGTAAGTCTCCTAAAAATAAGAGGAAGCTGGGTGTGGTGGCTCACGCCCATAATCCCAGCACTTCGGGGAGGCCAAGGCAGGAGGATTACTTGAGCCCAGGAGTTCAAGATCAGTCTGGGCAACATAGTAAGACCCTGTCTCTACAAAAAATGAAAAAGAATTAGCCAGACATGGTGATGTGCACCTGTAGTCCCAGCTACTCGGGAGGCTGAGGCAGGAGGATCACTTGAGCCTGGGAGTTTGAGGTTGCAGACACTGAGCCACTGTACTCTAGCCTGGGTGACAGAGTGAGACCCTGTCTCAAAAAAAAAAAAAGAAAGAAAGAAAGAAAGAAAAAGAATAAGAAACGCTGAAGAAGAAGACAGGGGAGAAGAAAGTGAGGCAGTCTTGTGGTGGTTGTGGTTATTTTTAAGCATGTTCTTACCTCCCTCCTGTCCTTCGTAGTTAGGACTCCAAGTTCAAGATTCTCTTCACTAAATGGAATTATAAAGGGGAAATCCTGCCCTTTCATAAGAAGGGACATGGGTGGGGCATATGGGGTGAGGGGAGTGAAGTTGAGGACAGTCTTGAGTCAAAGTTTCTCAAATTGTGGGTCTCATTAGTAGGTCATGAAATCAATTCACTGTGGGCCATGGCTAAAAATATATATGTATCTATATATAGGAATGCATTGTAAATAGAAAGGGTATTGTTCCTGTAGGTGTATACTGGGACATCACGAGGAAAAAATGTTTTCCTTGCAGTAGCTGATAGTGAAAAAAAAGTTTGAAAGCCCCATCCTGAGGAGTTAAGGAGTAGGAAGTTCTAGGTCCTTCCTTTTCCTTTCAGGGCACTGACCCTATCAGCCAGACCAAGGTGGCAGAGCTGCTTGGGGACGGTGACAGTAGAAGGACCTCCCAGGAAGGCCCTGGGGACAGTGTGAGGTTTGAGGGAGGTGAAGATGCTTCTGTGGCTGTCGAGTGGTCAGGGGTAAGTCTAAACATTGCCTCTTGATTTCCTGCTGGTGGTGGTGAGAGGCTTTCAGCCTGCCGTTCTCTGGGCTCTTACAGAGTATGAGGGCATGTTGTCCCTGTTCTAGTTAGTCCATCCCTTCAGGGTATTTCTGGGAGCCAGTTTTGACAGGGCTCTTGTTTTTAATCACTGGGTTTTGGGGTTGGGGGATGTGTGCAGAATAAATGGCAGGAGTAGACTCAGAAGCCAGTCTTCGTGGGATCCTCTTAGCTTCCATTGCTCATTCCTCTCTGCCAGGATGGCAGTGGGACCCTGCAGAGGAGTGGCTCTCTGGGCAAGATCCGGGATGTGCTTCGTAGAAGCAGTGAACTCCTGGTGAGGAAGCTCCAGGGGACCGAGCCTCGGCCCTCCAGGTACACAATGAGGTTGAGATACGGCAAAGCAGGCAAGTAAGCCCTTGCCTTCAACTCCTCTTGGCCCCTGATCTCTGGAGGAGAAGTGTCTTGGAGAGAAACATGGAAGAGGTCAACGGGATGGCCATGGAGAGAGAGTTCGGCAGGATGGGTGCCCCAGTGGGGGGGATGCAGGTACCTGAGGAGATGCTGGTTTCTAATACAGATAAGAGTGGGAGAGGAGGGGACAGAGGGTAGACAATGATTTGATATTGTATGGCAGTGCCCAAGAGGCCCACAGCTTTAGGGATATTCAAGAGGAAGAGAGGAGGCCTCAATTCTTTATTCTTCCATTGTAGCAGCAACATGAAGCGAGCAGCCTCCTTGAACTATCTGAACCAACCCAGTGTTGCACCCCTCCAGGTGAGAGCAGTGCTTGTGAGCATGTTGGTGGGTGAGAAAGAAAGGACGGCTAGCAAGCTTGCCCAGCGGGATTAGGGAAGTGGGGAAAGTCATATGGGATGAAGGGGGATTAGAGTCATTAAGAAATCAGGCAGAGAGCTTGTTGGGTGTAGTGACCACCAAGGGATAGTTTCAGGCCAGATATTAGTAGCAAATAAGTTAATCAGGAGGGAAATAGTAATTGATATTCTTTAAACTGGTACTTTGGAATTATGAATAATTCAAGAATGAGGCCGGAGGCCGGGTGCGGTGGCTCACGCTTGTAATCCTAGCACTCCGGGAGGCCGAGGTGGAAGGATCGCTCCAGGTCGGGAGTTCGAGACCAGCCTCAGCAAGAGCGAGATCCTGTCTCTACTAAAAATAAAAAGAAATTAGCTGGACAACTAAAAATATATACAAAGAATTAGCTGGGCATGGGGGCTCACACCCATAATCCCAGCACTTTGGGAGGCTGAGGTGGAAGGATCACTTGAGCCCAGGAGTTCAAGACCAGCCTGGGCAACATAGCTAGACCTCATCTCTACCAAAAATGAAAAAAATTATCCAGGTGTGGTGGTGCATGCCTGTAGTCCCAGCTACTTGGGAGGCTGAGGCAGGAGGATCACTTGAGCCCAGAAGTTCAAGGTTACAGTGAGCTATGATCTCACCACTGCACTCCAGCCCAGGCAACAGAGGGACTTGGGGAAAAAAAGAAAAAAGAGAAAGAAAAGAATGATTTGGGGATACTGTTTTTCCTCCTGCAGTTACTGTACTCCTTACCTTGGGGACCTAGTGGTAGATGAGAAGGGAAAAAGAAAAAAAGCACTAAATATTCTCTATTCGAGAGAACAGTAGTGATATTCTAATAGCAAATGACCATTTGTATCAACATATTCAAAGTATACACCAGTATTCATGTGGCTCTTCCAGGTAGATTCTCCACCAGATTGTAGACTTCTGGAAAATCCTAGCAGAGGCTAAACAAAAGCCCCAGAACTTGGAGTTGAGGTTATAGGCTCGATCCTAGGTCCAGAGATCAACTGTAGCCATGGGATGGATGGATGGTCTTTGGGAGGCTGAGGTCCCTGGGCTAATGGGGTGGTGGTGTCTGTTTCAGGTCTCCCGGGGCCTCAGTGCCAGCACCACGGACCTCTCTTCAAGCAGCTGACATTCAACCCAATCCCCAGGTCTGCTGGGTCCCCCCACAGTCCTCACAGCATTCCCCATTCCTCCTGGCTCTTTCCCACCCCAAGGTGGGACAGTGAAGGGGGAGCAGTTTAACCAGAAGATTGCTGCTGCCCTTAGGGTCTCAGCTCCCTCCTCAGGAATCCCCCTTAGGGAATAGCCCTCAGGATACCCCCTCCTCACCCTGTGGTCTTCTAGAGTAGCTAGCTCTGAGGCCCCCAAGGTGGGTAAGACGCAGGTATACACCTCAGAGATGCAGCCTGCTGCTGGCTTTTCTGTCAGAGAGTTTGGGGTCGGCCAGCCAAGCAGCCTTGGTCTGGCCTCTCCTGTTCTGCCTCTCTGCTGCCTCACTTCAGGTCCATGTATTTCACTTTTCTTAAATAAAAGAATCAGGTAACCTTTCTGCTGCTCGAGTCCTGATTGAAGAGGGTAGGAAGCAAGGGTCGTGTTGGGGCCCTTCACAGGAGGGCAAGGGGCAGTGATGGATGGGGCGACAGGAGGAGTGTTGATTCTTGGATCTTTCCTCTCTTCCTCCCCTTGTTTGTATCCTCTCCAGCAGGGCCTGTAGGAAGGCATCTGGGGGATGGGGAAGGAGGCCCACAACCCAAGGAGAAGGTGCTGTGGACTGGGTTGTCAGGGACATGTGGTGGCCATGTGGCAGGACCCTGGAGTCCTGGCGCCACTTCTCCTGGCTGTGAGGCCCTCTGTGGCTGCCCCTCCTCCTCCCAGCTGCTTGGGGGAAGGGAAGTCTAAGCAGGCCTGGGGGGCCCTTCGGAGCCAGAGGGGAGACAAGGCACTATCCATCCCCTCTCAGCATATCCTGGAGGCCTGAGCAGCAGCTGGGGCCCATCTTCTAAAGCTTGACTCCTCCTGACCGCCTCCTACACCCCTTGCTGCTTTCACAACAAAGAAAGAATGTGGGGGTGGTGGCGCTGGGGGTGGGGCGTGGGGTGCCTGGAACAAGGGCTGTGCTGGGCCTCCCCACAGCTGGAGTTGGCCATGCCCTGACATAGCCCAGACTGCCTGGAGATGGACTTGGGATGAATTTGTCAGTTTAACAGCCTTCAGCCTGGCTTTCAGTGCCCAGTGTTTCTACTTTTGGGTCCAGATTGGTCCAGAGCAAAATCAGACCCCAGACATGCACTCTTCCCCTCCTTCTCCAGGCTACATCTGTCCTGGGGCTACATAACATCTCCAGGTTATCCTGCTTGGGGACATCAAGGACATCCTGCTATTCAAGGTCTCTCTTAGGATTTTGGGTTGCTGAAGAATGGGTCAGGGCCCCTCTTTCTTCCTCCTACCTGGAGAATTCTGGGGGAACTGTTGGTCAGAGCCTCCAGGTAGGCCCAGAACTCCCTAAGGGCCACGGAATCACAAAAGTCACTTTGGTTCCCTGGGTCCCTGGAGATTAGGCGGTGGGCACAGAGTATACTCCCCTACCTCGCTAAGGTGCCCTGCACTGCCCAGAACCTTCCTCCCTCTGTTCCCCATCCCTCTCCAGACCCCTCCCCCAACCGCGAGCTCCTCCCGCCACGGCGGGGAGGGGGCGTCGGAGGGGCGGGGCGCCACGCGGAGGCCGGCGGGGAGGGGGCGTCGTGGGGCGGGGCTTGGCGGCGGCGGCGGCGCGCGCGGCTCCGGCTCGGGACGCCTCGGGCTCTGGCTCGGGCTCCGGCTCCGGCTTTTGCAGCAGCGCCCGCGCTCGGTGCGCTCGGCCTCTGGGCCCGCCGCGGAGCGCAGTCTACGCGCCCGCCGTGCGCCCTCCAGCTCCTTTCCCCCAGCCGCCACGATGGGAGCTGCGCGGGGGTCCCCCGCCACTCCCCGCCGGCTGCCTCTGCTTAGCGTCCTGCTGCTGCCGCTTCTGGGCGGTGAGTCCTGGCGAGCTGGGGAAGCAGGGCTTGGGAAGAGTCCTGCGGGCAAAAGGGGGCACCCGGGGAGGCGGGTTTGGGCGGCTGGCGCGGGGGCAGAAACCCTGGAGTCGTGGAGAGGCTCACTGGGCACGCGAGGTCCCGGCGGAAGGGCGCGGGGAGCCTCAGGGCCGGGAGGTTGGCGAAGCCCCCGCGAACTCGGTCGGGGTCCCTCTCCCACTGGCGCCGCGGGGACGCGTTTCCAGCCTCTACAGTTTTCCCGGCCTGACCCGAGAGTCTGCTCGAGAACGGCCGAGAGTTGCCGGCTCCCGGGACCAGGTGGGGAGTTTTATTTTCCGGGGAGAAATAACTACCCGCCCTGTGGGGGGTGCGGCGGGAGAGACGGAGTCTCCCCGGCAAGCTCAGTCCAGGTGAAGGCGGCCGGCTTGGGGCCCGATGCTCGACCGATCTGCAGCGCGCAGAGCGCGGAGCTTTGTTACCCACTCCGCTCCCGGCTTCCCTCCTCCAAGTTCCTGGACAAAACTGGGACCCCAGATGGCCCTGCCAATGAGGGCGGAAGAAGGGAAGAATTAGGGGTCGCCCCTTCTCCTCTAGCTCACGGGCCGGAGCCCTGAGCCCACTTCGTGCCGGGGTCGAATCCGGGAGGCAGAGGGTCCCAGGCTGTCGCGGTGACTAATGTGTAGAGGCCGCTGCCAAAATCGGGCATGGCCGACCTGCAAAGGTGCGGACGGGGTTTATTCTGCTCCTTCCTGGATTTCCATCCTATCTGTCCTAACAGGAAAGGAAGTCTCTGTTTCTTAGGGCAGAAAGGCAAAAAGAGCGAACTCTGGCTCTTCTTGGAGGGCCTCAGTATTTTGATGAGGGTGTGGCCGCATCTCTAAGGCAGACAGACCCCCCCCCACCCCCTCACCCCAGCTTTTATTTCCTGGCTTGATCGCACCTAAGAGTCTCCACTGAGGTGCTGAAGTGCCTTACAGGGAAGCACCCAGCTACTCGTACGTCCCAAACAGCCTGGACTGGAAATAAAGCCTCCCATCTTCCAAAACACAAAATCTTTGGTGGTGGTCCTCAAAGCAGCTTTTTCTTGGGGAACTCTGTCCAAGGGACCTGTCCTAGCTTATCACTTTCCCCCTCCTTTGGAGAGTGGCAGTGGGGAGGGCAGGGGTCGCGAATTGCCTTTTCTAAGATCTTCCTGGCCTGCCAGTTGTTGAGGGATCTTGGCACTGGTGGAATCAACATCTCCGCAGCCCCGGTTGTAAAAGGAGAGGTAAATGTAGCCCCGGAAAGAGAACAAGCTCTGGGGATTCAGTAGAGGTGTTTCTAGAGTAGCTCTGTGTTTCCTGTGTGTGTGGTGGTTATTGCTCATGGCAGAATCCACATCTCCCAGAGGAAGTATGGAAGTTTTTTTGCACAGCCTGAGTGGAGGCCCAGCCATGTGGGTGAGCTGCCCAAGCTCACAGGCCTCCTGGGTCGTCTGGTTGGGTTTTGGTGTGTGGGTCTGCCTGATGTGGCTGCCTTCACTGCTGCTGTTTGGAGTTCTGGAGTCAAGGGGAGATTCTGGTGGAGACGGGGCTCTTGTTCAACAAATGCTAAATCCCTAAATTCTTCCATGAGAAGATGACTCTGATGTTAATGATGCTAATCTGGTGGAGGGTGTTTAGCGGAGGGGGCGTCCTGTGGGGGGAAGTTAGGGCAGGCTGAGGGCTGGGGACAGGAGGTCTGGAATCTCCTTGGGGTTAGAGGGAATGTCTTGTGCTCAACAAAGGAACATTTTAATGAGAGCTTTAAATCAATTCCACCAAATGTGCCTTGGTGTGGAACCTGTCCATGTGCTGTAAACAATTTCAGCCGAGGCTGAGGTGCCTGCCGTCTTCCAGTGAAGTCCTGGGACTCAAACCCACCCCCACCCAGATGCATGACTAAAGGGGAGCAATGACTTTAATAGATCACAGTAGATTTTTCCATCTCACCGTTGTGTAATTAACTGGAGTTGTAGTGAGACCCCACTGTTAATAAGGCTGGAGTAAGGGACCAAGTCTGGCTAGGTTTGTGGATTAGACCATTTTGAAGTTTGGGTAATTATGCTGTAAATGACTGTTACTTTCCAAACTTTTAGATCCCTGTTGTGATAGATATGGTGGAGGAGGAGGAGGAGAAGGCTTGACGTTTGAAATCTGGGATTCTTAACTCCAGCCACTTGAATGGTCAGTTGTGCTCACGACCCAGCCCCATTCCCATGCCCCTCCCTGGTTTCTTTCCTCCAGGCTCTTGTTTGGGGAAATTGAGTCGTCACATCCTGAGATAGGGATAGGATGTCTTGTAGATTCCTCAAGGCTCTGCAGCCTGTAATTCAGGCCTAGGCATTGCTTTTATTAGTGATGGCTTTTCTCAGCTGTTGGGCTGTATGGCGGGAGGGGAGGGGTGATCTTCACGTCACTTGCCAAAGGATATACTCAAACACCTGGCGTTCAAAGCAACATTTGAGTGGTGGATGGAGCTCAGGCTATGGAGGTGAAGTACAGTCGTTCCTCAGTGTCCTTGGGGAATCGGTTCCAGGACTTTAAGGATACCAAAATCTGAAATAAGTTTAAGTCCCTTATATAAAATGACATAATATTTGCATATAACCTAGGCACATCCTCCCACATACTTTAAATCATCTCTAGATTACTTGTAACACCTTATGCAATATAAATATTATGTAAATAGTTATACTGTATTTTAAAATCTGTATGATTTTTTATTGTTGTATTGTTATTTTTTTATTGTTTTTTTCCTGAATACTTTTGGTCCTTGGTTGGTTGAATCCATGACTGTGGAACCCAGGGTTAAGGAGGGTGGACTGTATTTGGCAAAGCAGCAACTCAACCTCATCGATGGGCCCTGTGGCCCTGGGCAAATTTCTTGACCTCTCAGTTTGCCTCCCCTGTAAGGGGCTTACTTCCTGGAGTGGTGCTGAAGATTAAATATAAAGAAGTATATGGGCTGGGCGCGGTGGCTCACGCCTGTAATCCTAGCTCTCTGGGAGGCCGAGGCCGGCGGATTGTTTGAGCTCAGGAGTTCGAAACCAGCCTGAGCAAGAGCGAGACCCTGTCTCTACTAAAAATAGAAAGAAATTAGTTGGACAACTAAAAATATATATAGAAAAAATTAGCCGGGCATGGTGGTGCATGTCTGTAGTCCCAGCTACTCGGGAGGCTGAGGCAGAAGGATCACTTGAGCCCAGGAGTCTGAGGTTGCTGTGAGCTAGGCTGACGCCACGGCACTCACTCTAGCCCGGGCAAAAGAGTGAGACTCTGTCTCAAAAAAAAAAAAAAAAAGTATATAAAGAGCCTCTTCCTTGGTCTTTTCTCTTCCATGGTGTGCTTCCAGCATACCTTCAGCTTCACAATCATTCCCAACAAACATTTTCCACCTACTGTAACCCTCCATTCCAGTCCACCTGGCCTATTTGCCATCTCCTAAAGCATACCTGGTTTCTCTTTGACGTCTTGGGCCAGAGAGAACCTTTCTTTCGGACCTTTCTTTCTTCTCTGGC